TCCCCCTCTTCCAGCACTCAGAGGACCCCGCCCAGGAAAGCCTTCCTGCTTTTACTAGGGAAGAACAGAACCTACTTGATCTCCCTGACAAGTGCCACCTGAGCTAAAGGGGAGTAAACTCTACCCTCATTTAGGGACCATCTCATTTATATCTTTTACAACATTAAACAGAAGAAAGCATCACTTAGCGGGTGCCCACCCTGATATTCAGCACCACCCTTTGCATTTGCGATGATTACCTCCTTTAACACAGGTGGAAAATGTGACTCAAAGAGGTTAAGTAACTTACCCAAAGTCACACAGCCAAAACCCAATAGAGCCAGGATTTAGAGACATTCTGATTGACTTCACATTCCATGTAGATGGCACTATGAGGCACTGTCTCAGGAAGTTTACTGCACACAGATTCTCCCATCCTACTCCCCAAGGCAGAGCAGAAGGCTGGGTTCTGGGCTTTTCTGACTTGGGATGCGGTAATTAGACCTCCAGCCCAAACCAGTTTCCAGCGGCTTCTCCCGCATTCCCAGCCTGTCTTCAATCACGCCGCAGCAGCCCCTGCCTTGTTCATCACCGGCTTTCCTTCTCGTGCCTCCTCTAATTTTGCTCCATATCCCTTATGATGAGCCATTGCATAGAGGGTGATTTACAGCTTCCACTCTCATCTGCCTAGGGTTTTTTTTTTTTTTTTTTTAAATAGAAGAATTAAATTGGATCAAGCGCTCCAAGAACCTGTCTCTGACTTCAGCCTCTCTCGTTTACCCAGTGATGCATCACGCTGTGTTCTAATGGCTTCCTAATGGGCAACTTAATCTGTCATTAAACCCACTCACCAAGGGCCCCTTGCCAGACTCCTTGGCCATTGGTCTGCTTGCTGAGCCATGGCGTCTGTGGGGTGACCCCGTCCTCAGATTAGCGGGGGTTCTAAGAGGAAGCGCATCATTTCGTCTGCGGTCCCGGGCTCAAATGCCGACGGAGCCAGAGAGGTAAGAAAAGTGAGCAGGGCTGGTGGCTGGGACTCTGCGACCGTCTAAAGGGCCGCCCCTGCTCGGTCCCCCTCATCGCTGACCTATGGGGATCTGGGCCCAGATCTTCCCAATTCTTGACACAAGTCGGAGATGTAGAAGTGTATGTATAATCTTCCCCTTTTAAAAATGTCAGCATCTATTTAAAAACACTTTTTTTAAACACTGGGCAGGCCAAATAAAACATGGCAGCCGGCAGCTTTGGCCCTCCTCAGAGCGACCCCGAGATACCCCGCTGTGCTGCTCCCGGCCCCGGAGATTTCCTACAGCTCTGCTCAGCACGGGTAAGAGAATAATAAATCGGTCGCTTCACTATCCAATTAGCAGCCGTTGCTCCCCGCTGGAGGAAGAAAACAAACAGGAAGACCCTGCCCTGTTTTGTTTAGGGTCAAACTCGCCTCTGTACCACCTACTGGAGGGACTCTGGAGTTTGAGTTCTGGGGACAAGCGCGTGCCTCTGCTTCCGAATGAGCTCCTTTGACGTGTGGGTCCTGGGCACCAAACCACAGCCACCACAAGCCGCGGGTGCTTCCCCAGCGGGCCCCGGGAAGGAAAGCTCTGGGCAGGGGCAAAGCTGAGTTTTGCAACCAGTGAGCGGGAGCCCGGGGGCGTGGCCAGGCTGAGGGGGTGCGTTGTCCTGGTAACCCGTAACTTCCAGAACCATCCATCCTTTGGGGACTTCCTGTATGGGGCTGAAGGGCTTTCTTTCAGTCTCTCCTCAAGCTCAGTGAACATCACAGCAACATATTCCCTTAAAATCCTGAAAAGGTGCCGCACTTGAGAGGCAGTGTAGAGTGTGAACCCTGGAACCAGACCGCGTGGGATTAGGTGACAGGCACTTAGATTCCGCGGGAGCTGGAGCAAGACATTTAACCCCTCCAGCCTCAGTGTTCTTATCTGTCAAGTGGAGATCATAGTTGTGCTGACCCCGAAGGTGAAGATTAAATCAGCTAACATACGTAGCACATCCCCTATAGTTCCTAGGGCAGGGTAAGTACTATGTAAGTGTCAGGAATGGCAATAATAATTAGGGGGAGAATCCGCTGTCCCCTTAGCTCTGAGAGACAGAGGCTCATCAATCTATAGGATCTCACATTAAGATATAGTTGAGCTGTGTCTGGGATGCCAAACTCCTAGAATTTATCACTTTCTCCCTCTCCATGTATTGTATCCCCTCCCCTCCATCTCCTCTGCTGCAGTTCTACCCCTTTCCAAACCCAACTCTGCCAATACTCCTTCATACCATACACAATTTTCTTCACCCTCCTCGGAACTCACTTTATGCTCTATTGACACACACACAAGAACACTTATCACAATTTGCCTTAGACGGTAGCTATGTGTGGATATGCCTTATCTCCCTGGAGACCGTGACCTCATCTTATTTTTTATATCCACTGTCACACTGTGTCTTCGACATAATAGGTGTTAAGTCAATATTTGCTAAAGATACGTTAAGTGAATAAATGAATTAGATTCCCTGAAACAACCAGGGAGATTCACCCGGAGGAAGTATGAAGTTTGGGAGCTTAGAACTCTCAGAATGGACTTGAACTTGGCCAAGGAAATCTCAGGGGCTATCAATAATAAGCAATAATTATAATAAATAATAAAAACACTAGCATTTATTGTGTGTCTGCTGAATGCCAGATGCTGCTCTAAACTATTGACACGGACTATTTTCTGGAATCTTCACACCTGTCTGGTGAGGTTTGTTCTACTTTTGTCATCTCACGATCCCAGCCGAGGATGCTGCGGTTCAGGGCAGTGGAGTAATGTTCCTAAGACACAGCTGGCCAGGGGCAGAGTATGGATTTGAACCAGATAATTTGGTTCCCATGGAAGCAAATAGTTGAGCACATATAGTTAATTAGGGAAGTGGCCCCAGGGAGCGCTGGTAGGGCGATGGGGAAGTGAAACGGAGGGAAGGAAGTAGAATGAGAGTGTGTTCACAAGCAGGTCATCTCTGTGTGCAATGAAGCTCATTCCCACTGGGGACCACGGAGACTTTGTAGAACAGAACCTGCCTCAGAGCCATCCTCCCAGAGGCTAGGAAGCATGGGCATTTACCCAATTCCCTTCATCTTTGGTTGGGGCTGCTCTTGGGGACAACCCTGGGCACTTCCAGCCTGGCCAGTGCATGGACTGAGCATGCTCCTGTGGCCAGAGACAGCCCCAGACAGAGTGGCAGGTTTCTGCGGTAAGAAGCTGGTGTTGTGTACAGCAATGGTGAATGCCAAAGGCAGGAGACGGGGCCAACACCATCTTCTATACCAGGGGGCTGGTTCCAGAGGCATTCCTCTTTCCACTGGCCCACAGTCCAGCTTTGCTCACCAAAAGGTTCCTTCCTTCCCTTCCTCCCTTCCTCCCTCCCTCCCTCCCTCCCTCTCTCCCTCTCTCTCTTTCTCTCTTTCTCTCTTTCTCTCTTTCCTTCTTTCACAGAGTTTCACTCTGTCACCCAGGCTGGAGGCAGTAGCCTCCCGGGTTCAAGCAATTCTTGTGCCTCAGCCTCCCCAGTAGCTGGGATTGCAGGTGCCCCGCCACCATGCCCAGCTAATTTGTGTATTTTTAGTAGAGACGAGGTTTTGCTATGTTGTCCAGGCTGGTCTCAACCTCCTGAGCTCAGGCAATCCACCCATTTCGGCCTCACAAAGTGCTAGGATTACAGGCATGAGCCACCGTGCCCGACCCAGAAAGCCCACACTTTCTGATGTTCTTGTCTGGGCAGCAGATGCCTTCTCTAGGGCATTTTAGCCTATTTTTAGTCTCATTATTGTTTCCATCGCCTTGGCATCCTACTTTGTACTTCTTAACACACACACGTATATCACAAACATAAACCTCTAGGGGGCAAGACCTCCCTTCTGGAGGAAGTAAGCAAAGCCTGGAAGGTTGAAGCACCTTGATGAGGAACACCTGGATGGCTCATGGCAGCACAGTCGCCAGGCCTTAGCATCCAGAGAGTCAGACATGAGTTTTGTTTTATTTTTATGTATTTGTTTATTTGGGGGGTAAAAATATTGTCCTGTTGACCAGCCTGATGAATATTAGAAATGAGCTCTTATTGGTGAAATTTAAAAAATTCCCAAGACACATGGATGGGCTTAAAACGTTTGGAGCTGTGCCGCATAGACATGCAGGCAGGTAGGCCACTTCCCTAATACTGTTCTTTTTTTTTTTAGATGGAGTCTTGTTCTGTCACCCAGGCTAGAGTGCAGTGGCACAATCTCTGCTCACTGAACCTCTGCCTCCCGGGTTCAAACAATTCTCATGCCTCTGCTTTCTGAGTAGCTGGGATTACAGGTGCACCACCATGCCCAGCTA